TGTTGTTGTTGTTGTTGTTGTCAACCGGCAGTTAGATAAGCAGATAATTAGTTGTACGGACATGACGTGTGGTCGTAGGGTAGGTGTGAACAAGCACGTAATGAAGAACATGGAAGGAAGCTAACAGAGAGAAGGACGAGGAAAAGGGCAAGGATACAAGCCCAGGAAGCCAGAAGGAGAGATGAGATCGGTAAGGATCCCATGACCGTTTGGAAAAAGGGAGAAACAGAGACAGAAACAACGGCCGGCGTACCTCGAGGGTTCAACGCCACCGTGACCATCCACACCACGGTAAGTACCCATCCGTCGCCTTGTCTCAGTCAACGCAGGTCGCAGCCAGCTTGACGCCCACAAGGGAACTAGAACAGAACCGAAGGATGAATTAATGCTAGCGCTTGAAGATGAACAAGTTCCAGTTCTTTGGCCTTAATCTCTGAGTGTCTGAGACCCCCTACCCTGAATCCCGAAGACGGCACGGGCATGGCTCAGTGTGAGTGAGCAGGCGTGAAAGAAGGAAAAGGACTATGCAGAGGTATATACAGCAAGTAGGATAGGCATCTTTAGATCAAGAAGAGGGTAGGTTTATGGCGTTCACTGAGTATTGGTTGAAAATATGGTATGGACGAAAAATCAAGATGTGACTGCTGATTAAGGATATTTCATCAAGTTCTTCAACACCGTCCGTAAACGTAGATAGGAGTCAGCATTAAATGCTCGCAGACAGAAACATGTTCGAAGGAGTGAAGTCTGGTTCATTTTCCTCGGCCATCCCAACATTATTTCTCTGGATAGCATGTTCACGTTGTCAACCCGATCAGCACATCATCTCCCAAGCCAAGTAGAGGTAAGCAAACCAACAAGCGGTCGAGATGTCTGAGGCTCGTCACGCAAAATGCCAACAAAAACATGATAGGCCTTGAAAGGGTTGGTGTACAAGACTGCCCATCAAGGCAAGAAATTCCGTCAAGAGCAGGACAAAGCATGGAATGCTCGATACATGTACAATAACAACGTCGGTGGCTTACCTTGTTCAACTAAGTGATGTGTCTGACCAACATGGGATTTCTTTTTGTGACATGGAGCGAACGGGGTATGGTATGCCTCCTTGTGATGATCTTGCCTGGTCCTTGTAGCCGCCGTGAGCAGACAACTAACTGCTCAGTTTCTGAATGGTCCGGAGTATCTGCTTCGACAGACATAATAACGACGACACTTGCGTAGTAGCTGAAGATGTTGAATATGCTGTAGGAGAACTCCAACTTTTCAGAAGCTCCGTCATCGTAAACTCTAGCTCGAAGAAGACGGAGAGTTGTTGGAGGGTCATGGTACTTTCATGGCTCAAAATGAACTATGGGCACAGAGCACGTTGAAGAATTCGTAAAGATCATGTGGGCAAGAGAGAGCTTGTTAGAAAAGCCAAACAAGGAAGATTAGCTTTAACATCTGAAATGTTATACAAATTCACACTGGTAATTGAGCTCGTGAAACTGATCGTGCAAAGGTAGACTTGCGACTAAGTCGAAAACCCCTCCATGGTAGGTATTATCCATTCACCTTTGACATTCCTATTGTGATTGCTGGAGAGATACCTATTCGACGGAGAACCCAGCCTAAGGAATCGATCCTTGAGGAAACATGTAAGGGAATTACTTTGTCTTCAACGTACCGCCGGTAGTTTCCAGGTTGGATATACATGTAATTTGGCCTGAAGGTACTTCCACCTGTGATTACCAATTGAAATATCGCCTAGCGGGACTGGAAGTCGAGAAAAAAACTTACAAGAGATTCGAAGAGACAACTGCAAAAAGGACTGAAAGGAACAACCGAGAAATGAATATGAAATAGAGTAAGGGCAGATTGAAGGGTAGTTGAAAAGGGATTGAGAAAGTATTAAAAATCAGCTGAAGAGAGATTGAAGAGGAACTGAAGAGACACTAAAGAGAGACTGAAGAGAGACTGAACAAAGACTGAGGAGAGACTGAAGAGAGACGGATGATCAAGTAAAACGAAGAACCGACGAAGTGAGAATCAGGACCTCCGGGAGTATAGATTCATTATGAACATGAGGAAAAAGGACTCAACGACATAGAGGTATGTTCTTGGGCCACCCCGGATAGTTGGCTAGACATTTTTGCTGCTATACCTGAGTTACGATTCAAGACTTGTGCCCGGGATACCAGTCAGCATCTTAGAGAAGGCTAAGTGTCTAACAGACTACCTGTAGGATCACCGGTTTACCGACGATCTAACTTGAAGTACTCTAATGGGAACCGAAATGTTCATCCTCATTCATAACATGCAGGCCTTCGGTAGAGATTATCTCGACAGCACCCAAGCGGTCCCGACTCCCACGCGAGCGACGAAAGAAGAAACAACAGAAGAGCGAAGCAAAGTCTACCCAGGAGAGGCGAGGAGAATAGAAGGCAAAAGCCTACAAGACCATATAGACGGGCCAGAGCCGCGGTGCCTGTTGAGAATGAATTTGAACAACCCAGATATCATGATGTCGCTTGAAGTGAAGCGAGGAATTCTTACGCGTTCGCCCCTAATTCCAACCAAGAGGAGCCAGTTACAACTCGTCAAACACTCTCAGTTTATCAGCTGTTTCCGTTTCTGGAGACATCCATGTTGATGAAGCCTCCCCATTTGGCGCCTCTTCTACCACTTTTGCTGAACCTCGAGGCAAACCCATGTCTTGTTCGTCGTCTCCCTTTTGTCGTAGTTCATCACCAGCATCTTTCAACCTCGACCCCTGCCCCAACAGTTCTCCAGCACCACCGAGAGACGCATTCTTAAGCGAGCTCAGAGAGTCATTGGCGATCCTGTTGGCGGCCATCACCGCCCCTTCCACCGTAGACACCGTAGCCGCCGAACTTTCTGGCGCAAACTGCGATCCCACAAAGATCAACAGCACGAGGAAGATGACACCCGAAGTCAGCACCCAGAACGCCTTGAGCCGTCTGCGGGTGCGCTCCTGCCACTCATGGTCGGCGCGCTCCCAGCTTTCGATCCGCTCGCGGACCAGATCAACCCGCTCGCTAAGGGACTTGATCCGGTCGCGGCCGACGTAGACGCGGTCCTGCAGTTGCTCAATACGCTTCTGGTGGTCCTCAAACTGGCCGAAGGTGTCGAGCTGGGAGCTGACGTCGCTCACGAGCTCGTCCGCTTCCGTGGTGAATTGTGAGGTCATGTCCTGGGAGGCGACAGCTACCTCCTTAAGCGCGAGGATGGTGCTTTGGAGAACGCAGAGTTTCTCGAGCACAGAGTAGTATGTATCGTCGAGTTGGCGGGTCGTGTTGGTAGAGAATTGGTCGAGATCCTCAAGGGTCTTTTTCAGGCCACTGCATAGGTTGGAAGTCCATTGTTAGCTTGCGAACATCAGGTGTATAACGTCAAGAGGCCAAGGGGACAAGCAGAGGGGCCGGAATGTGTTTAACCAACTTTTCCCGTGCAATGGCCTTTTGGCGCTCCTTTGCGATTTCATCTTCCTTCAACAGGACCTTGCCTCCTGGTGTATTGTTCGCGAGTGCTGCTGTAGCTACCGAAGGGACGCTGTCGTCGGCGGACGGGCTCGCATTGAGAATGCTGGCTCTTCTGCTCGCGTTAGGAGTCAGGTTGTTCGGCGTCGACATGCCGAAGCCTTCGAAGGAGAAGCGGCCTCGAGCGGTGGATTGTAGTAAAGGATTTGCACTCTGTATATCCAGATTCAATCCATCGCGGTCCTTCCCCTTTTCTCGCTCCTTGTCCTTGTGCTTCTCCTTGTGTTTCTCCCTGTGTTTTTCCTTGTCCTTGTGCTTTTCCTTGTCCTTCTCTTTCTCCTTCCCGAGGCGGTCGCGGTATGAACGATGGCGATGCAGATGGAGCGAAGACGGCAATTCGCTGATGGAGCGGGTGATTTGGTGTCGCGGACGTTGTAGAGAGTGGGATACCGGTTTAAGCCCTTCGACTCCATTCGGGGGATCCGGAGACATGACGGCACTCAAGCGGCTTTCCTTTTCTTTATCGTGCTTTATCTGGTGATTCGGAGGCATAATGATGCGTAATAACGGCAGATTGGAGGACCTCTACGGGTAGGCAAGTGGAGGTGTAAGCCGGGATGCAAGGTCGACGCCCGAACTTAGTGCTTCTTCCACTGACGTTGCGACTGCATCGCGGTGGGGACGCGGCACAGGGGACCAATGTCACTGAAGCCTGCCTCACGATCCTTGGCACATCCAGCACAGGCCCGTTGTGCAAGGGTTCAGTGGGCATGTGAACTGCAAAGAGAAAAGATCACAACCAAAAGTTTGTCAAGAACAAAGTCACATGGAAGCAGAAGATGCCAAGTGGGTGAATCGGTAATGATAAAAGCCTTTGGTTATGTTCCGTGTAAAAATTGCTTGGGGGTATCAGAATGTTGCTGTCGTTGTCACACGCAGTGGTCGTCGAGGCACGCCTTCCTATAAGGCGCCGTCTTTCCGGGTTAGTTGTTTCCCATCCATTCGTCCTGTCCGCTGAGCTTCTCCTGGCAAGCCACAGCCTTCCGTGGCTGCTGCGGACTTCCAACTCCAAAAATCCCATGCCATCATAAAACACTCCTCCAAATAAAGTAACGCCGCTGTCATCGAACCAGCCCAAGAAGACGTCACGCTGTGAATGGCGTTCGGGATTCGCTTTCTCGGGCGTTGGTGGAACGGCGACGCCGGTGGTTCGGTTCGTTACCCATCGCTGGCGGGAAGGAGTGAGACGTGGTGTTCCGCATGTTCCTGAGTGCCGTTCACGATCTCCTCGTTCAGGAGTTGATAAGCTTGTTGCGCTTCTCCTTGCGCTTGAGCCTCTCCACCCTCTTCTTGTGCATCTTCTCGGCCATCTTCTCGTAGCGCTCCTTCTCCTCCTTTCTCTCCCGCTTCTCCTTGAGGGCTTGGATGCGTCTCTGCGTGTGTGGATTGATAGGTCAGCCTCTGGCATCTCGCCTTCCGCATCGTCTTTCCAACTAACCTTGCGCTCCGCCTCCTTCTCATCCTTAAGCTCCTTCTCCTTAGCCTTGACGGCCGCCATCAACTGCCTATCCTTTGCGCGCTTCTCGAACGAGGTCAAGCCGGAGCCGGGACGGAAGGCCTTCTTGGGCTGCTTCCATTGCTTTCCTGTAGGAGGATGGCGATTAGCACTTTCATTCAACCCGACGATGGTAGAAGGCGACGGGCAGAGCTTACCATTGACCCTCATGCCAAGGAGCTTGGAAGTCACCTTGGTCTCCACCTGAGACGTTGTTTGTGTTGTTGTGGTAGTAGAAGACATGGTTGCGAATAGTTGAAAGTTGACCAACAATTCGTGTAATGGCTGGGTTGGTTGGATCACTGCAGAGCGATGGGACGGCGACACCAAAGGCTGCAGAAGAACTAAAGGCGGTCAGCCAATGCGGTCGCATTCTCGCAGAAATTTTGGCCGGCAGAATTGCTTATCAGACCCCGTCTCGCCCGTTATCGCAACCATATCGCCGGACGGGTAAAGCAGGCTCTAAAACTGCGGGGCGGACCCTCGTCACCCTTGCTTCCATGTGGTCTCATGTTGATGGTCGGCTGAGAGTCTGAGGGTCTGCCCCGCAGTGATAAGATAAAGTGACTCAATCGGCTGTTTGACGCTGTGGGAAAAATCGTAAAAAGCCTCGAGCCGCTGCCCGATGTCGCCTCTGTCTCTCTTACACGGTCACGTCCAGGAACTGTATCTGTCGAGTAGCCATTCTCCGCAAGCACCAATCCGCCAAAATGTCCGAGTCCAAGGGTCGCGTCTGTCTGTAAGTCAACATCCCCCAATTTATGATTCCACTTGTGAAACAAGCTATTCTGGAGCTCGGATGCCTGACTGACACTCTTCCCGTCGATAGCGCCTATTCCGGAGGTACGATCCTGGAGCTGTACACCTTGGAGATCCGCCTGCCATGAACGCAATTGCTTACCAATTGATCACTGTACACAGGTCTTGATACCTCCGTCAGTCCCTCTGAGCTTCCCTTTCATCCGATAGACCGCATTGACTGACATTTGTTGCTACAGACCATCCTTTGCTGGTTGATTGAGCAGGTAGAGACAACCAACTCCCTCGCGCCCCCCCTCCGAGCTGTGGTATTGACCCAAGTGACTATTATAGGGCTACACCGTCGTCTGCTTCCTCGCCAATGTCGGCCAGGAGGAGAACTGGGATGAGGTCCGCGCCAAGGCCAAGAAGCTCGGTGCTGAGGAGATGGTGATCCTCGACCTCCAGCAGGAGTTCGTTGACCAAATCGTCTTCCGTGCCATCCAGTGCAATGCCATCTATGAGGACCGTTACCTCCTTGGTACCTCCCTTGCCCGCCCCATCATTGCCCGTGCCCAGGTCCGCGTTGCCGAGGAGTATAACTGCGAGTTTGTCTCCCACGGCTGCACTGGCAAGGGCAACGACCAGGTCCGCTTCGAGCTTGCCTTCAAGTAAGCAAATCCCCTCCTCTCCAGCGCCGTTCGAAGCCGTTTAAACACTGACACGGCACCACAGGGCCTGCAACCCCGAGATCAAGGTCATTGCTCCCTGGAGACTTCCCGAGTTCTGCGCCCGCTTCCAGGGCCGTCAGGATCTCCTCAAGTACGCCGCCGACAAGAACATTCCCGTCTCCTCGACCCCCAAGGCCCCCTGGTCCATGGATGACAACCTCGTCCACTGCTCCTACGAGGCCGGTATCCTTGAGGACCCCGACCACACTCCCCCCAAGGAGCTCTGGACCCGCACCGTTGACCCCCAGGACGCCCCCAACACTCCCCAGGAGTTCACCATCCACTTCGAGAAGGGTATCCCCGTCAAGGTCATCGTTGATGGCAAGGAGACCACTGGCTCCGTTGAGCTCTTCAAGCTCCTCAACAAGATCGGCCACGACCACGGTGTCGGCCGTGTCGATATCGTTGAGAACCGTTTCATCGGTCTCAAGTCCCGTGGCTGCTACGATACCCCCGGTCTCACCATTGCTCGCCTTGCTCATCTTGATCTTGAGGGTCTTGTTATGGACTCCAAGGTCCGTGAGCTCCGTGATCAGTTCGTCACCATCTCTTGGGCTCGCCAGCTGTACAACGGCATGTACTTCAGCCCTGAGCGCGAGTTGTAAGTTGCTTTCCACCCGAACTTGGAAGATAGACGAGCAATGATTAACCAGCATCCCTTACAGCGTCGAGAACTCCATCATCTTCTCCCAGCAGAACGTTACTGGTGAGGTCCGCATGATGGCCTACAAGGGCGCTGCCTATGTCCTCGGCCGCAAGTCCGATGCCTCCAACCTCTACTCCGAGGCTGATGCCTCCATGGACTCCCTCGAGGGCTTCTCCCCCATGGACACCACCGGTTTCATCGAGATTAACGCCATCCGCCTCAAGAAGTACGGTCTCCAGAAGATAAAGGATGGCAAGCCCCTCACCCAGTCTTGAACGTCGACAACCATGTCGGAAAAAAGATTATAAAACGGTGAAAGGGACGATGAGAGGTTTCTTTGCGCACGTCGCCCCGGGCAGACGGCCAGCCTCACTCGGCACATAAAGCTAGCCATATTCGCAACCGCTTCTTGAATAAGAAGCAATTATAGAAGGAATAGGCGCTTAAAAGAGTGGAGGATTGCCTTGGGGCATAAAAATATATGGTACATATAGACAGACGGCTCGAAATATAAACACCCCATCCCTGCTGCATGGCGTCACCAACAGTCCACACAAGGACGAGTTTCCATCTGGTGATGGTAACGTAGACGCCTCACAAGCGTGTTTTCCAGTGCCGAACTCCGTTGCTTGCAACCCACGAGGAAAGGGAACCATGTTCGTCTCGTCTGGCCTTCGAACCTGTACAGTTTCCCTACAGTGGTCGATACTTGCACCCGATGATAGCCTCACTTCACATAAAGCAATGAGGCCTCCTCCGCATCATCCGTCTTTCTGACTCAAGCACTGAAGATCGATCGGAGCATCGGTAATAAGCTTTCTCCGCTTTTGTTGACCCATTTCGAGGCTCTTCCTTTTTGCGACGCCAAGGGCAAGTCAACTGCTATGTCCACATCTCATCTCCGCGCCCTGCCCTGCGGAGAAGGGCGTTTACGTTTCGGCGGACATGGCTAAAATAGGCAAAGAGAGCAACAGGGGACCCATTCCCCCAACAACCACCCAAACAGAAACACAGAACCGCTGAATGAATCATGAACCAACCAACCAACCAATCAACCAACCAATGTTGTGTGTTTCCGAGTGATTGGGAGATTGAACAAGATTGGGACTGTCGTCATTGTCAGCCTTCAGCCTTGGACATTCAACTAAAACAGACGCGACGAGGCGAGTGATGAAATACGTACACTGTGGAAGAGAAAAAGGAAGAGTTCAACACACAGTAAAATCCGGGGAAATGTTTCATCGTTTCAGAAGCAGAAGTGAACAAGGAACCGGCAAGGATCAAGAGTTCCGGCCCTGGAACTGGAAGTTGTTCGAAATGGGTTAAAGCCAGAATTCGCTTGTGGTTCGTTCTGTGCACAACACCACACCAGCAGGAGATGTGTACTGTAAGTCGTGAGGAAGGTTTGGCACAGCCACAATTAACTTGGCTCGGTTCCTGGACGCGTCCCAAAGAGATGTGTTTCCCTGAAACCAAGTTGCTATATATGTGGTTTGTACTGTTCAGGGGTATTGTTCGCTCTCTCTCTTGCTCGTTGTTGATATTGTGGACGAGGATTCAGGTCACCCCGAACTTGTCATATCAAATCACCAAGAACGTTGATGAAAACCACCGTCTCCAATCTTACCCAATTTAGGAAAAAAAAAAAAAAAAAAAGGAAAAAAAAAAAAAAAAAAAAAAAAACACTGGTGTTCTAGCGTGCGTGTCCATACAAGGCGCAACAGCCTTATTTTTCTTTTGGGTTGGTCGGGAGGCCAAAAAGCAATCATCACATCCATCATTAAAAAAAAAGTTAAAAAAAGGGAGAAGCTCACCATAATTGGCTGTTACATCGTACTCTCGAAGTTAGTTTGCCTCCCCTTCTTCCGCAGTCTCCCCAACGCCGTGTTGGTTTTAGTTTCCGCGTATAAAAAAGAACACGACAAACAGCGCTTCCCTGGAAGTACACGTGTAAAAAATAGACAAGGACGGACGACGGACGCCTTCGAGGCCCCCACTTTTTTGTTTTTTTGGTCCTTTTGGCAGCTTTGATCAAGGCTGCTCCTTGTTCACGGAAAGAAGGAGGCACAGCACAGTTTCGATCGATGAGAGAGAGGCAGGATCTCGAAAGCGAGAAAATGTAGCTCTCACTCACTGGGCTGTTCACAAACATCGTATCGTATGTGTGGACGCGCAGGATCACGCAAGGCGCTATGGTGTACAGTTGATAAAGTACGGTATTTAGAGTACGTAGTAGGTTGAAAGCTAGGTACTGGTAGCCAGGAATGTACCTATGGACCAATCGTACACTATAAAATCGGCCACCACTACACTACCGAAGCGAGCGACGATACGCAACATGCGAGATTCGGGGGGATCAGAAGAACGGGATCGCGTAGAGTTTCCTTTCACGGGAAGTTTGATACCTAACTTTAATAGACGATGTACTGTAGGTCTTTGTTGGCTCGTGTTATTTCGTGCATGAGTTCACTGATCCCAACCCATGGGATGAAACCCCGTGGTTGAATGATACCGACCGGTGTGATGATAACTTCAAGCGAAGGGAGAGTAGGGTTGCCGCTGAAGGTCTTTGAAACATACGTAGCTAGGCAAAGTAGCTCTATAGTATTACCGCGGGTTGATATTGGAATTTTGTTCGAAACTGCAGACGAGGATTAAGAAAGGACCCCCCACTTTGCTGTCCCGTTGCTCTTAGTTCCCTCCCTCACTCCTTCTGGTCGAAAACCTTCAAGTCGGGATGCTCTACAAGAGTTCTAGTGAAGTCATTGGAGAACCGAACTTTCACGAACCATTGCGGTGATCAGCATCACAAGAACTTATACACCACACTTTGTTCTTGAGTCCTCCCAGCCTGACTGGCTGCTTCATTCAAGTCGTGAGCCAGTCATTGTCCTCCCTCCCACTCTCGTTACTTTCGCCTCCGCAAATGTCCATCCTCAGTCTTACCGTACAATATTCGGTTCGTTAAAGCAGCGTCGTAGTGCCCTCCTGTAATGGTTTGAACATGTTTTCCCCCGCATGCCCCATGGGGGAAACACGGGTCGACGATGATAGGCCGGCCGGGCCGTGTTTGAGACCTTGAATCGGAGGGGGACCTGGACTCATTCTTTTTCGGCCAAATTCTTTTGCTTTTTTTCCCCCCAGGCCTGTGAATTGTCCCCATTCCTTCCGCTACACGTGTACTTACTTGGACGACCCTCGATTTCCTTTCCTTTACCTGAGATCAGGATATTTTGAGATGAACGGCTCCTACCTAGTTGTTGAGTTGGACATGAAAAAGCGTTTGCCTCTTTCTTCCTTTTCTCTCGGAAGACTTTTGGGTGCCATGTTGGGGAAGCGCTCATTCGCCCCTTCCCTGTTCTCAACCTACACTAGAATAAAGTGTTGCTAATGCCTTTTTTCACGAACAGACGAGGCATCCCGTCACCCGTCTCTTGACGGTGCGATTGCAGTGCCAAGGCGATCTGGTCTCGGTCCTCTGATCTCTTGATGTCTGACACAAAATCTCTCTTTACATCACTCGATTGGCTGAAGTGCCGGATATTATAGTGCTTGCATAACAACCGTCGGCATGCGTTTACTTGTGGTGGTGGTTAAAGTTCAAGCTTTCCGCCCGAAAGGGCCGAGGCGGAGATGGTACAGTTCGTATCGACTATCGTCCATAGTTCAACATATTGCTGTTTCGGACTCTGCCAGAGTGAGTGTTCCTGAGTCGAGCGATGAATGACTGGCTAGGAGGAGACGGCAACGGGATTGATGGCAAAAGGTCGGCCGACTTCGAAGATGGAAAGAGGAGAAAAGAAAAGACGGGACCCCCCCGCGCGCGCAGAATGGCACGGCGACGGAGATCGATCCGTGATCCATCAATCAATCAAACCGATCAACAGCGGTTGCCTTCCTGCAGTAGTGTACAGTACGGGGTAGCATCAGCGCCGCTCTAGTGCTTGCAGTAGCGGCTTTTTGACATGCATTCGTCCCCATCGAGAAGGCACTGTTTTTCAATGGTCGGTCGAGCCATTTCAGTGAAGCCATGACAGTCCCCAATGGACAAATTTTTGGGCTTCACGATGAGAAAACCACGACGCCAGGAACGGTTGGTTGCCCTGTCTGAAAATGGAAAGACGATTGTGGAGAAGAACCACGCCTCACGCCTCTGAGAGGGCGGTCTGGAGAGTCTGGACAACCGCCACAAACCGAATAAAGGGAGCGGAAAGACGTTATCACTTTTTCCACTGTCATCTTCCCCTCACAGAAGAAACAAAAGAACCCGCTGGCTGGTCTCATTGCTCACTTTCCAGTGCCCTGCGTCTCGTCGGCTGAATGGCTTCAGGGCCTCTGTGGCGTCATGCACAGTTGTCCGTGCCCTTTTGCGAAGTGTGGTGGGCGCTTCGAGCTCAGAGTGGTCAGTGGACTCGTTGAAGCTAATGCGAGTGTTTAGCGCCAGTGGTTGCATGGCATGGCATCAAATATGCTTGGCAGGACGCCAGGGCCCGGTTCGGAGCAAGATGCTTGTGCTTGTGCTTGTGCCTGTTGTGTGGGTGCTGATGTTGCTGCAGGATTCAGGGACTATCTAGATCTCGTCGACGACGAGACTCCGACCACCGATGAACCTCATTCACGACATCTTGGCAAAATTTCAACCTAGACAGACGAGGAAGGCGGCTTTTAGAGGTTGTTCTACACGAGGGTGGTGGCGTGGGCCGCGTAGATAGAACATGATTGAAGTGAGGAGTCAGCGGCCTCGACAAGTCTCTTTTCACATTCTCACAGTCCTCTTCCGAAGGTGCCTGATATCGCAACTTTTTCTGATAACGGCTGAATGTAACCGATTGCTAAAGCAGTGGCGTTCTGATAACGCTGAATTATAGCGGCATGTGCGTATATCATGCGTATGCAATGTACATGTAAGTGTGTGCGCGGTTCATCGTCAAGTGGTGGTGGTGGTGATGATACCAAAGATGGTGTCTGGAATCAGCAGTTTCCTTTCTCCTCGAGACGAACGAACGAACGAATTGATAACGGAGCAGTGTCTGATGCAACACCAAACACACACATCCCGCATCATATCCGCCGCTGCCACACTTGAAAGGCGAACGAGTTCCGTATTGAAACATTGCCCCGCCTTATAGCTGAGGTGATCAGCCCGCTGACCAAAAGCGTCGTCCGTTCCTGTTCAGGATGCCCGAGTGTGTGGCTCTAGAATATTTAGTCACTGAGATGAGCAAACAGAACGAATCTCACCTAACGAGAAGAATAAGCCACACGCAACTCCTGGCGAAAGAAAGACTAAGCGAGCCATTTCCCAATCTGGCACACATTGTTTATTTTAGGAATTGCAAACGAATAGATGTGCCAACTACAACAGCAACTTGTAGCAACAAAAAGGAATGTTTGGAGAGCGTGCAAGTCGAAGGTGACCGTATGACATTCCCCGTCCCTCACCGCCCCCCCTGTAATTCCTGGTCATGTACCCCGTAACCCCATCCTTGATTGTACCCCGTACTCCTCTTCATCGGGGATGCTGGGTAAAGTCGGTCGGCATATAGTTATCACTCAATAGACTTTGTAGAAATACCGACAGATTTGATTCAGAGAACAACGAACCCCGTTCATCATGCAGTGAGAGCACCGCCGAGCACCGGCCGGAATTCGTCTTCGGTAGACGAGAGGTAGGGAGGGTGATCCCCCACATACCTCCAGTTAAACAGGTGCTACACGTGTACACCGTTATTCCCACCAAGATTGTTATACCTCTTCAGAAATACGGTTCATCAGCACAATCCCAGCGTCAGCCAGCGGGTACCCAAAAGACAGGGCAAGACAACTTCAAAGCCAGGGAGGGACAGTAAGTTGCCAAGGGGTGAAATGACTTTCAACATCCCAGGCTCTCCAAGTAACCTCGTCCGCATAGGGAAGGCAGGGTTAAATTTCAGATGAACAGCATCACAGAGCGCCATTTTAATTGGTAAGGGGGTACCTAGCAACGACAGCAAGGGAGGCACAGGCTGGCGCGTACTTGGCCAGGTACCAGGATATCTTCCACATCATACCTGACCTATGTACAAAGCCCGCTCACTTGGCTGGCTGGAGGCTTTTCGGTGTGCTGGACCGTGGACATTGGACAAGTAGCTGCCACAGGTGATGGTGGGTTTTGCGGAGAGGAATAGCGAAATAACCGTGTCCATCCTGAACCATAGCCGAGAAAAAACAAGATGGACAGAGGACGTCGGTTGACAAGGGGGGGGGATGCCGAATTGGTAACGAGATTCAGGACGTTCCTAATTCCCCACGCTTTCTACCACCTGCATGGTGGGCATTTTGGGTGCCGATGATGTGTAAAACCGGCGTATACGGGAAACAAGCTGGGGAAACAGATGACGAGAAAGAAGTGGGAAGCTCAACATGAGTCGGAGACCGGCTCGGGCTTGCTATGGCGATGATACCGATAGTGGGAAGGCGTTCGCCCAGGACGCTGTGCAACTGGCGGACTCTGAGAGTATGGAGAACCTTGTTGCCCACCACCACCACCACTACTTTAAAAGATTTTGCCAAGTTGGGAGGCGACATGCGACATGAAGTCTGGAATATCTGAACTCTTCCAGTGTGAGAGGATGACTAGAGCTGTATATAAGACTGTTGTGCCATGGCTCACTGCTTGGTGTTTGAGGCTTCGTCCTGGTCCTGGTCTTGGTCTTGGGCACCGGGATGGAATGAAGTTCCTGGGGCAGATTCTCAACTTTGAAGTCCAAAATCAAGAAATTTGTCACTTTTTTTGCTGCTCCCGTGACCATGTCCGACCTGCTCCTACCCTGATTTCTGAGCTGCTCGTCACTCTGGATACAGGTTCGTGAATATAGCCCACATGCGTGTGAGGTGCTGTCGTGCTGCCGTGATGCTGTGCCTTTAGAATGCTCCAACGCAACACAACCACGGACTCCCGCTCGCGACTGAGCGGTACGTAGGTATGCGTAGGCGTGGTACACAGCAACTGTTGCATGAGGTTTCTCAGAGAAGGCGGTGGAGGATGTGTCTCCCAAGGTCAAATTTCCCTTTTCCGCTTCTTGAATCTCTGGCGATATGGATGTCCTTGGTTGTCTTTGATGCGAGTCCCAGCTCCTGGTTCCCGTCCGTACTCCGTGCCAGCATCAACCGCCGCGCACAGAGAGGCTCATTTTTAAACTTTGTCCCCCATGGCATATCCGTACATGGCCTCTCTTGAAATCCGATGTCAGACTTTGGGCTTCTCCTTCCAAGGCTGGACTAAACCATCTCTAGTGTACTTGGGAAGGAGTGGTAGACAATACCTAGGTAGGTACTTTACCGTACCTGCCCTGAGAAGTGGTGGTTTTTGAGATGCGAACCATAAGCCCAATCTCTTTTTCGTTGGGGAGCTGGCATTGAATGCTTAAGCTCAACCACTCATGTCGACTGCTCATCACCTCTTGGAATATCTTGTTCGTCTTCAGTTCTTCTTTTTCTTCTTCTAGAAAGATGGAAACCAGCGCACCCGCCCTTCTTTAAAGATGTCCCCGTTTGCGGATACCGATGGGTGTCGTAGCGCTGGCCTGACTGGCTGCTGCAGACCCACTTGGAAATCCACCGCAAATCCCATTACCCCTGGTTTATGCTGGTTTTGGTAAGTTGTGCAGGAGTGGATGCCCAGCGGACGAGCCTGGAGCCAGGTGCGCCAGGCACACGACGGCACACTGGCACCGCATTGGCACGCTCGGCCAGGGGAGAGGAAAAAGGAACCCACACCCACTGCACTCTAGCTCCAGTGCAGCACAGTGCGCCGGCGGTCCACACCTTTCCCTAGGTTGGGACTGAGTTGCAGGCGCACTGGAGGGTGACTGCCACTGGAGGCACACCCACGCTGGAGGACACACTGAACACCAGCAGCGGCCAGGACCTGGAGGCGCAGATGCGCGGCTCCCGTTGGCTGGTGTGCACAAGAGGGTCCCACTTTGTGGTTTTTCTGTTGTGTTCGTTCCGCTCACCCTCCCGTCCATGGACCGTCCGCTCCCACTGCATCTTCACCTTTCCATTTCCTCACTCTTTCCACCACCCCCATTCTCCCTCTTCACCATCTCACCGTCGTCACTTGTCGTCGACACCACCCTTCCTCTTTGGTTCAATTCCAGCAGCAGATCTTGACCGATTTGCGCTGGCTTGACCGTCCACTCCTTTAACCAAAATCTTTCAAGTTATCGTCGCCAGCGTCACTTTTGCTTCGCGTCGAAACTCTCTAATTCTTTGTTGCCCTGCCTTTTCTCTTCTCGTCTTTGGTTGCTCGTCTCTGATCTGACTTGACTATTGGTACGTTTCTGTCTTTCGCGATCAACCTTGCGTCATGAATGCTTCCATGACTGCTTCGTGAATCACCTTTACTTGTCCAGCGGTCAATTGTCCAATCCGCAGTCATTCACTACACTAGGCATATGGTAGCCAAGCTGTATTACACCCTCGTCGCTGACATTTCCTGCTCTAGAGTCTCAGGTTCGCAATCCATCGCCTTGTAATCCTTTAATCGTCCCGACCTTCCCGACCTCACCACTACTTTTGCCTTCGCCTTCGCCAACCGCAATTGCGTCGACGTGCTAGCAAGCCCCGTTTCCGCCGGCAATTAATGTCGCTTACCTTCAACTAAGTCTTCGTTGTTTGTGGTGCCGCGGTGCGGCTTGGAAAAGAAACATGGCGGCCATGATGGGTCCCGACATGATGGTCGGATCGACTACCAATGCTTTCGATCATTCAACCACCGCTTCCGATATTACCAACAAGACTCCCCGATCTCAAATTCCGCTGCCGAATCCGCCCTTCGTCTTCCCTGCCAAACCGGCTTCTTCAGCGCCCTCGTACTCCCGCGCGACTGGAAGACGCCCGCACTCCGCTATCGAGCCACAGCTCCCGAGCTTTTCTCTTGGTGCTGATATCGAGAAGCCTGTGTCCAGATCACCTGCGCTTCCGGTCCTTCCCGCCTTCTCATTCAACCCAGGGAACCCCTTACCTGCAGCAGCGCTCACCGAGAGCTCGTTTCTCAGCCCTACTCTTCCTCCATCGGCCCCTTCTTCGCCAAGGGCAATTCCAACTCGGCCCGGAGGCCATGGTCATCGCAGGGGAGGTAGCGAGTTTGTAGGAGGCAGCATTCGTGGTGGGGATTCGATTACGGTCAACTTGGGTTCTAGTCCTACCAAGTCAGAAAGTGGCTTGGCTTCTCCCTTGTTGCAACCAAAGAAGTCTGCGGGCCGCAGAGGCCATGCTCATCGCAGATCTGCGGCAATCTCAAGCCACGACTTGTCTTCCATCATCCTCCCCCCTACTGCTAGAGAGGTCAAGAAGGACAGCCCCCCAGCAAGCCCAGCGACGGTCGATCCTCCCAAGGAACTCCCGCTGGCCAGTGATGAGAAGTCGCAGACTGAGACGACAACAACAGCAATTGATGTTTCCGAAGTTCCGGAAACCCTTGCTCTAGAGCCCGAGGTCTCGACACCACCCGCTGAGGAGCCAGTATCTACCACAGAAGTCCAGGAACCACCGAAGCCGGTCGTTCGTACAAGGGTTGGATTCTCTGATACTCTCGAATACATCCCGAGACCTGTGTCGCTTGTCTCTAGCGACACCTCCAGCACGATCACCGCTCGTCCCGGCCATTCCGTTTCGGGTAGTATTTCGTCAGTCATCTCCATCACAAACGTGGAGCTGGGCTTGAACACTCCTTTGGCCTTCAACTCATCGCCCGAGATCAATGACCGCCCAAGCACAGCTGGAGCCGTCCTTGAACGTACCGAAACAGGTCAGGAGCAGGTCCAAGAGGTACCAGTTTCATCGAGACGCCGTGGTTCCATTCCCCCTTCTGGGTTCGATTCCGCCGCCTTCAGCTTACACGTCGGCGACCCCCAGCCCCACCAAGGCCACCAAAAAATGGTCTTTCTTCGGCAAGGACACCTCGGCTTCATCTCCCACCAGGTGTTCGGAATCGCCCAAGCTGTCGGCATCGGCAAAGTCCACGCCGCAGCGCTCCCCGTGTCTCCCGCCTCAGGAACTGCCCGAAGAGCTGACGGAGATGAAACCGCTCACGAAGAAGAGGAGCAAGAAAAAGAAGAAGGTCAAGACCTGGGCCGGGTCCATTCTGTCTCGGAAGCAAAGCAAAAAATCGCGAAATGGCAAGGGCCTGAGGCGGACACCTACTCCTACCTCTCGACGTTCCTATAGTGTGAACGAGCCAGCTGATATGGTCGTCGAGCCAGAGGCGGTTATGCCTACAGTTCTGGTGACTGAGGAAATCGACCCCACTGCGAAGGACTGGGATTCATACAAGCCAGCATCCCTTCCTGACGAAGAGACTTCATACCAAATGATCGATTTGGACGCGGCATTGGGACCATTCAATACGCCTCTCCCTCGCAACCCGGAATGGGAGGCCGCGCAGAGAGCAGGCGGTACCGTTAAGAAACAGTTGCACAGCGCTGCGGGTCTGAGGGGCTTCACCGGTCCTGGAATGCACTATCACAGACGTGCTGAGAGTGCACCCGAACTGGTACCTTTTGAAGGTGGCCGGTTTGGGTTCCCCCGGTTCGGTAGCAGCTCTACCATGGCCGACGTGTTCGAGGAGGACGAAGAGGAAGATGAGGACGAGTCACCCAAGTCTACTGGACAGTCAACCCCTGTTATGGAGACCCCTCTGGCCGAAACCTTCGAAGAGTTGAAGGCTTCCGCAAAGGGTAAGGATGTCGCGAAGCCCACTGCTGACGAGCAGCGGGACATGGCAACCGTATCCGTTGCTCTACCTTCAGGAGTAAACACCGACGAGGATGGCAACGCCTCTGTGAAGTCTTCAATTCATACAGGGTCTCTGGCCAGCCAGTCTCAGGATGCGCTTCAGCAAGAGACATCCGTCACTGATTCTCCCCGTCCTAGCTTTAGTGGATATCAGAACGAGCTACAGGCTAGACACAGCTTTTCGGGGTCTGCGACTCCTTCTCCCAGGCAGACCTTCCGTCCCAAGGACCTTGCTGCAGTTGACTGCAGTCCTTTGACCTTGCCTGCTGCTGCGTCATGCGCGCCGGTCAGCCCTCACTCGATGACCCCGTCGTCGGCCTTCCCATCTCCCAGGTCTCCCTTGTCCTACGATGCTCATCGCATCTCGACAGCGCCTTCATCCATCACCGAGGACAATTTCCAATCACTGCTCATGGGCGAACCTGGACCGGAGGTACGAATCTCGGTGGACGATGTCCCATCATTGACCAGCGGCGACTCGTCGATGACTCGTGAGAGCTTCTTTGCACAAAACCCCCAGGCTAGGCAGCTATCCTCCAACACGCTGCCTAGGCCTGCCTCGTTCAGTGCCTCTGCCTTTGGTCGAAGGCGATCGAGTCTTGCTAGCCTCAGCCGTCTTGTTAGTAGCTCGCACGGTGAGCGCAGCAAGCTCTCAATGGAAGTTTCGGCGAATGATGACGGATCGGAGAAGAAAGTCAAACCCAGCAAGACAAAGCGGCTCGGCCGGTTTGTGCAGTTCTGGAAATCCAAGGAGAATAGCGAGGCTTAACGATGTTTTCAGGCGAAACTAGCTAGGAGCATGGGTGTCAAGGCTCTTCTGTTTTCATGTGGCGCTAAATAAGGGATTTTGGGGATCTAGATGAGATTTATCAGGGGGCTTTTCAACTTGACGGATAGGGCGTTCTCTTTCTTTTTGACGATAGCACGAAGGACAAGATAACACGAGACCAAGGGAGGCAGCAGCAGCAATCTCGGTCACAACCAGAAATTTGTTTAGGGGACGAGACGTTTATTTGTCGAGGAATGATGTGGTCAAGGGACATATGATTCAAAGGTGGACGATGACAATTTTTTTGTGATTCTATGGACATATCATTGCAAATGTCTACGATCGACTTAGGGTGGAAGGTTTTGACCTGGTGAGCTTCAAATGCAATACAAATTATTGGGCAATTCGAGCTATGCTACAATGCGCCTTCAACGGTTATGTGTCCCTTCTGCGTGCTTTTGTCAATCCCATGTTGATGGGGCGATATTATCGTCCGAAGAACAGAACATCACCTCAACCTCGGCTTCAACGAACTCAAAGGGTCCTTGGGTTTCAGCGCACCACAAGTGACGCCGCCAACGGGCTTTATCCACTAGGAATCCACACTCACAGAGCCACGTAGCGGTAGGTGCAGCCGCCGGAAACGCCGATGCGCGCTGAAGGTCTTCGCTCGGCACATGTAGTCGAACCCCGGGCCGTGTCAGGGGTACCGCTATCAGCCGCACTGGCAGCACCTCGGTGGGCACGGCACGTTGAACGCCTCGGCTACATCAACAACACCGAACATCAAAGGTACCGAACGAGACATCAACAAACGACATCTGAGCCCTGCGCGACCGACGATACGCCATTTTACGAGATCAAACTAGTACGAGCTGACCACGGTTCGCGCACCGATTACCGATCGATTTATCGAGGGCCGTACACCGAAACTTGCGCTGGGCACGGACATAGCTATACCGACTTGGCGACAGCCGACGACTACCATACACACAAGCGCGAGAACAATCGGCTTCACGACACGGCTCGCAACGACGACGGGTGAACTTATTCCGAAAGGGCTCCCGCGTATTCCTTCTACTGGGCTTCCATACGCTGCTTTTTCCACAGTTCTATGAGACTACTTGCACACTGTTGTACCGAACGGACGACCTGCACCGGTACCGGTACCGGCCCTGACGCAACTGAATATACCAAACCATCCTGCCAGCCACCGACCAGCTTGACTACGTATTTCTGTTCGCATCTATCTGTCTTGCTCTTGAATAATACGATTCGAGTAGTCGAGGGACTTACAACAGCGGACAGATCAGCTCTGTAGGGAAAGGAACAAGCACACACGACCGGATTAAAACAAACCATTATTACCATAAAGGTACAGAGAAACATACACACACACACACACACACACACACGTACATACATACATACATACATACATACAAAATGGGTTCCAACCGCAGCGCAGCCAAGCGCCTAATCAAAGAGCTTACGACCTGGAACAACGTCGAGTCCAAAGAAGAGAAGGGAGTCGAGCGGCTAGGGCCCATCAACGACGATGAGCTGTTGGTTTGGGAGGCCGTGATAAACGGGAAGGGGGTTGGTTGTGGTTATGATGGTATGTATACCTTTTTTCCTTCCTTATTTCCTCCCTCTATTATCCCCTTCCCTCTCTGTCCCTCCTCTGAATTTTTTTGATTTTTTTCTCCTCTTAATTATCTTTTTACTAATCACAAAGTGTTCCAAACTTCCAACAGACGGCCGCTGGCTCCTCCACATCACCCTCCCACCTACCTACCCCTTGCACCCTCCCTCAATAAAATTCATTACCCCCATCGTGCACGCCAACGTTGCTTTACAGACGGGGGAGATCTGCCTGGATTTGCTAAAGGAAGCGTGGACGCCCGCCTACAGCGTCTTGGAGTGCGTGAGGGCTATTCGCTTGTTGCTGAGCTGTCCGGGCATTGATTCCCCGTTGAATGTGGATGTTGCGGCGCTGATAAGGCAGGGGGATCATGTTGCTGCTAGGGGACTGGTGGAGTTGTGGGTTGAGGAGGAGAGGTATGAGGGGCCGTAGATGGGTAAATGGGTTGGTTAGAGGGCGGCGATATGGGGATCGATGTAGGATGATGGGTTAGGATGTGGACGGAGAGTTGGGTTGAAAGGAGGAGGGACGGCGGAAAGACATGGGATGATTTGTTATGCATTGAGAGGGACTGGATGGAATGATAACGTTTGGTAACTCTTTTTTTTTTTTTTTTTTGAACCTAACCGGTTATGGTCATAGGCCTTTGATACATCTTTGAAGAGCGATGATGCGTGTGTTTGGGACACCAATTACAAGATACCAATTGGACAGCATGTTTCCAACCCTTCATGTAGCCGTTGTAGCGGATCTCCGAAGACGAGAATCCAAAGTCAAGGTTTGTGGGCTTGATATGGATCCTTCCTGTGATATATACGCTTAAGTATCACTGGTAAATGGACATGATGCTCGTCACAGATAAACCGCTTGTATGATGATGCAGAGACCAAGTCGAGGCGGAGCTAACGGTTCATGTTGTTTCATCGCGTTGTAGCACAACAGCTGGACGCTTGTGCAGTACCTCTTAACGCCAAACCCCTTACTTTTTATTATGCTATTACTTCAAGAAAGATGACCTTCAAGAGTTCCCCATATGCCCTCGCCAATGGTCTAGTATATATCGTGAGAAATCGTCGCTGTATGTCTTCAAAACTGGACCAAATAAAGTTTTTACATGATTCTTTGCTCTGGTCTCTAAAGAGCTTTTGAAATAGGCAAATTCGCTTTTGTTTCGACAGCGAGCGAACAACTCATCACACAAGCTCGCGTCTGGCGCATCGTACACCAGACGTCTATTCGTCTCGCGCCCTTCTGCCGTATGCTTTTCGCTTCCCACAACCTGACCGGACACCAAACACTCATCAACAAATTAAAAGACTGCCGAAGCTTTTATGCTTCCCGACTTGGGGATGTGATATAGAACACTGCCTCCCTCTCCAAAGCAGGAAGCCCCTGCTATTGGCTACCAGGCTCCTGCTATTAGATGTGGGAGCGTCGAGGAAGGACGAGGAATAGTAGCCGTCTTCGAAGGCTCTGTGACAGATGCTGTCATCGTCAAGTGGCGGCTTAGGATACGCGTTATCAGACTCAATAACGGCCAATGTTTCACTCGTTGTAGTGATAAACCTGATGATTCACCGTTAGTGCGACGTTTCCCACTTTGACATGGCGCACAGCACACAGAACACATACCTTGTAATTGGGCAAACCAGTTGCTTGCCAACCTAGTCTTTTGGCCATCTTGGCGAAGCCTTCCGTCTCAATCAAGTGGTAGAAGGGGAACGCGGGGAACATGGCTCCGTCACGGTGCACCTCCGCCTTCACCAGCAACGCCGTTCCTCCTACACCATCCAAAGGCACTTCAGTGTGGATATCCGCACCCGCCTCGTACATGTAAGCCATCAGAGCGCGGTAGGTTGCCATTTCGGCGTAGCCTTCGAGAAGAATATCGTCCTTGCCCATCTTGGAAGATAGCTCCTGCGCGGTGGGGCTGTCCTGCCAGTTGTTGAAGTCGTATGGCCGCTCGTCCATAGCCTTCTTCTCGTCGTTGTAGAACCGCTGGAAGCAGTTGGGCACCGTGAGGGGCTTGCTGTGGCTGGCGAGATCCTGGATGAGAGTGGGGGGTGTCTCGATGATGTCGGCGTCCAACCACAGCACCCACGATGTGTCGGGTCCAAGGGTCGTGAAGAGAAGCGAGTTGCGGGCCTTGGCCATGGAAGCCCGTCGCGCCTTCTGGTTTGCCATCTTGTGACGCTCGCTCTCATCCTGGGAGGGGATGGGCGGGTCGAAGTCTTGTCGTAGGATGATGATGCTCTTGAACCTTTCCTTCTCTAGGCCATGCTTCTGGATCTTTGCGATCTGCTTCTGGAGCTCAATGGTGGCCGCGTTGCCCTCCTTAGTCTTGGGCAGAATAAAGCCCAACGTGATGAGCTCATGGGGATACGAGAGCTTCAGCAAGTTATCCCAGTATCCCTGATAGAAGCGGGCCATGGGCGTAAGGACGAGGACATTCTCGCGGTTGGCGACGGGGTCGTTTGTGATGGTGACATTGTTGAGGTTGTAGCGCGTTACTGGTGGAGGGCCCGACTTGCCCCCAACAGCGCTTGACTTTCGGAAAGGTGATGTCGGCGGGGAAAGAGGATGCAGCGCCGCTGTGGCCTTGCGAGCGGCAGAGAAGTCGGGAGCGGAGGGGGATACTAAAAGGTAGAGGATGACGAGGACGAGGCAGAGGCCGACAATGATCGTGCCAGGGCTCGTCCTTCTAAGACGAACCGGCCCCAATGGACGCGCCATGGGATGTGTGGAAGATATATCAAAGAAGGGAAGTAATCATATAGTCGTCGGGGTTCGAAGGTTCGCGCGTTCCCGTCGTCCGTGGTTGGCTTCTCGGTTGTGGTTGTAGTATCTTCGGTGGTGGAGATAAATGACAACGCTATAGCACTATTTGAAGCGCTCTTTCTCCTAGCTTCGTACGCAAACGAGAGCTGCGCGGGTATATATTCGTCTGCCGCGGACTTAAGAATATCAGAGCCAGCGTCGGTCAGTGTTGTCTTGGACACTTTTTGTCGGCCACTCAGTTGAGTCGTGGTCGAGGGGCGGCCAGGGGCATTGGCAACCGAGCGGGATGGGGGAGTTTAGGGGATGGGGGAAAACGGGCTTCTGGAATGAAGACAAGGCCTGAAGTGCGAATGGCCAGAAATGGGAAAAGGGGTTTAGTGCAGCGTCGCGTCAGAGAGAACTCCAATGGCTTGCTGACATGGGTCAATGTAATTCTGAAACGGTACCAATTCCTGCCCGCTAGCTTTCTGTCACTCCAGCAGCATTTTGGGCACCTTCGTGGTCTCAGTCGCGACTGGCAATCGTGGCAGGCAACTGGCGACACTCTTTGCGCAACCGTGGAAGGGAAAGTGAGAAGTGGCAGCAACGACGTCGATCCCGTCACGAAGCACTCCACTGGCCTGCAACTTCTCCAACACCAAGTCAAGCGTGCCAGGGACTTGCTGGGCAAAGGAGCGACAGCGATTGGGGTGACCCTCTAGCTGGAGGCTACAGTGCGAATGCCATCTCAGGCCGTCAAGGTAGGAGGCACAGGGGGGTCGCAGCTGGTGACGGCAGCGGCAGCGGGCAGCCCACGTCAGAGCAACTGTAGCCTTACCGCAGGTAGCTCCAGGTGCTGAGCTCACATCCATTGCTGATTGCCTCTACCTTGGAGCAGCATCATCATCGTTAACGAAATCCAAGCTTCATCGACCCGACTGTTTCTTTTTTGACCCGATACCACCCCGCCATCTGCGATTTCTTCAACTAATCATACACCCATCTTACTGTCGACACCAGCGTGTATTAACCATGCCGATATCACCCATTATTACGTTCAAGGCGGGCATTTGCGATGTCGATGTTCGTACCACCCCCTCCATCAAGCTCCCCGCGTCTGCCATGACATCTTCCTTCTTGGCTGCTTTGTCGCCTGTAACCGTCGATTAGTCCGACTATCGCAATGGAGCTAACATCCAGATCTTCAGCAATCGTCGAAGCCGTACAAGGTCACGCCCCAAGCCAGGCCCGGCTACATCTACCTCTACTCCGACGATGGTATGCGCACCGTTCAATCTTTAACTGGCGCTGTGGGACCCGATCCCTTCTCGTGACACAAGCTGACCATATCATCATGCAGACTTCATCCATTTCTGCTGGCGCCCGAGAGACGCTTCTGTGGACGAGCCCGAGCTCGACCTCGTCATGATCCCCGAGGACGGCCACTTCCTTCCCTACGATACCAAATCGCCTGCCCAGGCTTCCGCTAAGACCAACGGCCGTATCTTCTCGCTCAAGTTCTCTTCCTCGTCACAGCGCCACATCTTCTGGCTGCAATCGAAGCCCCAGGGCCCTAACGGCGATCCGTCTGTCCTGAGCCCAAGAGATCTGAAGATTGGAGAGATCGTGGACAAGCTGTTGCAGGATTATGAAGTCGATGTCAACAGGGAGCTTGCTTCACTCAGCAGCGGCGGTGGCAACAACCGCCGAGACGATGATGACGACGAGACGATGGAGGACGTCGAGGGCCACGGAGACCCCAATTCCCACCACGAGGGCGGTACCGGCGGCGCTGGTCCCGATGCCACCGGTGGTGATGTCCGGAGGGAGGGCGAGGACGCCAGAGAAGGAGGAGCAGATGGAGCGAGAGCGTAGGTGTTGTTTTCCCGTCACATTGAGTTTTGGGAGTTTGGGTTGCTTTGGCGCGCGCACATCATTGATCAACTTTCAACCAAGAATGAGCTAGCAGGCTATGGCGCAGAGGCAACAAGAATGGTGCAACTGTATTTTGTCCTTACTAGATGGAGGCACTAGAATATGACATGCACATACGTGGCATCCCTCTGCTTCCCACAAAATGGTTTTCCTGATACCAATGCAAGTGCTAACATGGTGTTGTTGATAGGGCAAGTGCTACAAATGCCGAGACTGATGCGGCTGCCGTTGTACGAAACTTCCTCGATTCCCTGAAGGGCACCCAAGGGCTTGCCGGAGGCCAATCTCAGACCCAGGCTCAGGGCAAATCATATCCCCTGCTCAACGACCTACTTGAACCCTCTGTCACGATCCCGATACTCGATTCCGCCACCGACGAATATGTCGACAACCTTTTGAACTACCTACCCCCGACCGTCATTATCATGTCCCAGCAAGGCGCCAGCAATGCCGATGCCATTGAGATCGAGCCGAGTGCCGAGTCTGTTGAGGCCGCTCGGCAGACCATGAGCCAAGATCAGAAGCGCGCGCTCCTGAAGAAGGTTCTTCGGAGCCCTCAGTTTACCCAGAGCTTGGCTAGTCTGACCATTGCTCTTCGGGATGGAGGACTCCCTAACATTTCGGCCGCGTTAGGCGTCCAAGTGGAAAATGGCGGTATGGTCAGGGGCGGTACGGTGCCTCTTGGTGGTGGAGATGCTGTCGAGGCCTTTGTGGAGGGAGTGAAGAAGACGGTTCAGAAGAAGTAAAAGTGTTCAAATTCGAGGAATATTCAAGATGAGGGCATGGCATATATGAGTCTGAGATCGGCCGAGGGAATCAGGTACATATAGAAACCGTACGCAGGCCTGCGTCCCGGGCTTGAATAAGAACCCGACTCCATACCAGATCTTGATCGTACTCTCAAGGCCATGCATATCCGTATCTCCAAAGTCTAACATGAAGCAGGACGGAAAAGAGTAGTCACATATGGCGGTATCTCTAATCGAATGACGAGTTGGTACTAACAGTAGCTTGATTGGTCTGAGTGTGTCATACAAGAACCATTAAACCAACCTATCTCTTACTACCAGCGACAAAGCCACATAGATGCCAAAAGAAATCATCCTATACGGCCGTGAAATCAAGTAATGAGCGAACAGACTCAGATGCAAGCAAAAGAAAAAAGTATTGGGCAAGAAAGAGCCTCACTGGGCATCGACAGACAAGAACTTTCAAGTCATATGTAAGAGTCCATCCAGATCGATCATTCATTCACTCATTCACTCATCACCCTCCTCCTCCTCGGCTTCACCGGCATCCTTATTCTTGCTCTTCTTGAACCTCTCCTTGCCGGTGGCAAAGAAAGCCTCGACAATCCTCCCGTCAAACGCCCGGCCGTGCATCAGATGCACGCACGCCTCGGCCGCCTCCACCGTCGCGAACTTGACGCTCACGATCCCTTCCTCCTCCTGATCGAACAGCACCACGTTGGTTACGGGCCCGAGCTTGGCGCACTCCTCCCGGATGTCGTCCTTGATCTCCAGCAGCGCGGCCGGATCCTCGTTGAGTTCCTCGAGGGTGAACATGTGCCGCAGGATCACCACCTTGTCCCATTTTCCGCCCTTGGCCTCCTTGATTGCGGGCCCCAGCAGGCGGGCGGAGGGGGAGGGCTCGTCGTCGTCCCAGTCGGCGAGCTTGGCGGAGAGCTTTTGGGTCTTTTTGATGATCTTGGCTTTATCCTGCGCGCTGCGCCGGTTGTCACCGGTACCGCCACTGCCGCCGCCGTTGTTGCTGTTGGGAGCGGGAGTGGGGTTGGTGATGTTGTTGTAGGGGATCGCAGAGGACGAGTCTTCGCCGTTTCCACCAGCCTTGTTGTCCTCTGCGCCACCACCGCCTGCCTTGTCTGCGGCGTAGTTGGTCTTTTTGTAGCTCATGTCCGCCGCCTGGACGCGCATCCTGCTGCCATCCGGAGCAGGCTCAAAGCGGAAGTCGGTGTCGTCCAGCAGCATGATGGCCATGTCGACTGACTGCGGCTTGAAGAAGACGATCAGGGCGTCGCCCTTGAATTTCCCGTAGGCGTCCGTGTACATCTTAATGCGCGGGCGGCCGCTGTCGATCTCCTCGGCAATGACGCCGCACTTGCGCGAGAAGAGCTCGGCGACCTCGTCAGCCGTCGCGTCGAGCGGAAGTCCGGTCACGTAGACGGCCGTGTTTTGCTTGGGCTCCCGCGGCGCCTTTTCGCGCTTCTGGTTCTTGGGTGGACGTTGGTTGTTCATGTTGTTGTTACTGCTAGCGGAGTCCTGTAGGCGTGCGCGCAACGAGGGAAAGAAAGAAAACGTCTGGTTAGTGTCTTCCCCAGATTGTCTCTTCTCTCGGTCCTGTTTGTCCCGTCCTCACAACATCACAAGAGAGAATCACACGGAAATCATTTCGTGTTTCCATGTACTCCTGGGGCACAGCGATTTCTCTTGCTCCCTTCTCTCTCACTTTTCACGCGGCTGCTTCGAAAGATATCGAAATGGGGGCAAAAGAAAATAGTGATTGGATCAATGGTTTCAACGAGGATGAGTGGGTGTTCATGGTGGTGACAGTAGCGGACGTTGATAGGTGCGCATTCGAGCGCAGCTTACCTCTCGGTCGTTGTTCTTTCTCTTTTTGCCTTGTCCTTTGCCTGACTGGCCTGTCTCTGTGTCGTCGTCTCCGAGTGATGTAATGTACGCCCTCTGGTGTTCCTCAATCAGGGCCTCGTCGATGATGGGGAGCCAGCGTTTGAGGCCCTCATCAAACTCGTATTCGGTGCCATCGTCTTGAACGGCAATGTACTTGTTGTCGAGCTTGGAGAAGGAGATGCGCTCGTCCTTGTCGAACTCTTCGAGGTCGGTCGGAAATGTCCAATACTCGGCTTGCTGTCCTTCTTGTTGGTCCATTATCCTATCTTCGGTATTCGCGAGCTGAAAGCTTAGGTATTGCGCAAAGCTTGGATGAATACGTCGATTGTTGAAAGGCGCGAGTTGGGTATTTCCAGTTGACGTTGAAGGAGGAAAATGCGACCCGTCTTCGAAGACCCGTTGGAGATTCCATCCCTTGGCGACGCGGCTCTAACATGGCGCCTGGTGTGGGGCGTCTTAGGTACGTAACTTACCGTATGCTAGGTGCAGGTAAGCCGGACGGTATGCTACGGCAATGCTAAAGGTAGTTCACAGCACATGCATGAGCAACTGTTAATTATTCCGTTCTTTTTCATTCGTCATCATGATCGGAATCAATCCTCTGTATCATCACTTCATCAACGACTTTCGCTTCAAGGGAGAAAGTGCTTCATCAGACAAAGAAAAAGTGTTGAACTTTTGTGTTCCCCCTTAGATCCCCTCGAAAAAAGAGCAAATGTAGCCAGCCGATCCTTCCAGTCCTGTATACCATCCCATTGTACAAATCGCCATGTTTTAAAATCAAAGAAAAATATCGCAAAGTTGAGTTATGCGAGAAGGGTATCAATCATAGCCATCCATCTCTTTCGAAGTGTTTCAAGGTATCTAGGTTTAGAAAGTTTGGCGACTTTAGTGGTGGAACAGACGGGTGTTCTGCTCGACGAAGGTGATGCCGAGCTTCTCGGCGGTCTCGAAGACGGGACCGTCGTTCTGGCTACCGCTGGGGGCGGCAATGTACTTGACGCCGGAGCGAGCGGCGCGGTAGACATTGTCGATGAAGGGGAACTGGTACAGTTATGTTAGTAATGATCGCGGCTGGCAGTCATTCATGGGGTTTTAACTTACGAAAGCGTCAGAGGAGACGCAGACATCGGTGAGCTTGGACATCCACTCGTTCTTCTCCTGCTCGGTGAAAGCAGCAGGGACCTCCTCGAAGAAAGCCTCGAACTGCTCGCGCTCAGGACCGTCCTTAGGGAGCTGACCGCTGACGAGAAGATCGATGGCATTGCTCTTGTCGGGGCGCTTGGCACCCTTCTTCCACTTGATGCCAATGACGCGGGGGTTGAAGCGCAACCACCAGTTGTCGGCCTTGTCACCAGCAAGGCGAGTGCAGTGAATTCTGGACTGCTGACCGGCACCCAAGCCAACTACCTGGCCTCTAGCAGCGTAGCAGACCGAGTTGCTCTGAGTATACTTGGCGACAATGGTGGCGATGGTGAGATCGCGCTGGGCGTTCTCGGGGAGAGTGCCATCCTTGGGAGTGATGATGGTGGAGAAGGTCTCGGGAGAGATCTCAACATCGTTGCGACCCTGGGCGAGAGTGACACCGAAGACGGTGCGGGTCTCGCTCTTGCTGGGCTCGAACTCAGGGTCAACCTGGAGCACGAGGTAACGACCACCCTTCTTCTTCTTGAGAATCTCAATGGCGGCGGGCTCAAAGCCGGGCGCGATAACACCATCCGAAACCTCCTTGCTAATGATGGTAGCAGTAGGGACATCGACAACGTCGCTGAGAGCAATCATGTCACCGAAGCTGCTCATGCGATCGGCACCACGGGCGCGGGCATAGGCCTGGGCAAGGGGAGAGGTCTCGATACCGGGGATATCATCGACCATGTAGACCTTGCGCTCATCGGCAGTCAACTCAAGGCCAATGGCAGCACCGGCGGGAGAGACGTGCTTGAAGCTGGCGGCGGCAGGCTTGCCGAGAGCCTTCTTGAGCTCCTTGACGAGGGGCCAGGCGTTGAGGGCATCGAGGAGGTTGATGTAGCCGGGGGCACCGTTGACAACGGTGAAGGGAAGCTTGCCCTCCTTGACGTAGGCAGCAGCAGGCTTCTGGTGGGGGTTGGCACCATAACGGAGAGGGAGGTACTGGAGACCCTGGCCAGCATACTGCTTGCGGAAGAAGTCGGAGATGGCAGCATCGTAGTCGGCGGTGTGCTCGAAGGCCTTGAGGGCATAGAGCTGACGGCTGGAGTCCTTGATCTCGCCAGACTCGAGCTCCTTGAGGAACTCGGCGTAGTCGTTGGGGTCGCTCAGGATGGTGACACGAGCGTGGTTCTTGGCGGCGGCGCGGATAAGGGTGACACCGCCAATATCGATCTCCTCGACGGCCTCGGGAACGGTGACGTTGATCTTGGCCACAGTATCCTTGAAGGGGTAAAGGTTGCAGATGACATAGTCAACCTTGTCGATGTTCTGCTCAGCGAGGTCCTTCTCGTCGGAGGCGAGCTCGCGGGCGAGGATACCGGCGTGGACAGCGGGGTGGAGGGTCTTGACGCGACCACCCAGCATCTCGGGGGCCTTTGTGATGGCCGAGATATCCCTATACAACAGAAAGAGCTGTCAGCGCGCTGTCGCCAATGGTTTCGATATGAACGGGCCCGAGACGAGGGATCCTTACTCGACAGGGAAGCCAGACTCCCTGATCATCTTGGCGGTACCGCCAGAGGCGAGGATACGGACATTGTGCTGGACGAGGCCCTTGGCCAGGTCGAGGAGGCCGGTCTTGTCGTAGACCGACACAATGGCGATTCTCTGGTGGGCAGCCATTGCGAACCACTTTCTTGCGACCGAGGTGACGGCGGGGGGAATTGGTGGTCGGGGAAGGCGAAGGAAGGCTTGTCTGAGGTAGAACAGCTTGATCGTTGCTACTACTCCTGTTGTTACAAAGCGACAAGGGAAAGGAAAGGAAGAGAGCTTAAGAAGAAATGGCAGGGCCTTTGGAATTTCAAGCCGACAGCTCCTCGCCCGAGTACAGTCACAGGCGAATTGGCTGTGGGGCAGGCAGGGTGGAGGGAAGCGGAGTGGGACTTGCGATCGCGACCCGTAACTCAATCACATCATGGAGGGGTCGGAAATATTTCTTCGTTGCTAAGAACCCTACCCAGGCCTATGGCGGGTAAGAATGGCCGTTAAGGCGCGAGTGAAGGTCCTCCCAAGTGGGCCCTTCAGCGCGCCGGGTTCGGGCGTTAGCCCCGCAGTCTGCGCAGGGAGGCCCTGATGATTCTCGGGTACGGGTTGGTCACTAGAGTCACCACAGAAGTGCAAATTGCCGCACTACAAGAATTTTGGTTTCTCTCGTTTCTCAATTCTTGTGAACTGTTTTCTGCCTTGTTCTTTCTTCTTTCATTGATTGTCTTGGTGCGAACATTGTGTCAGTGACGGGTCGGTTCTTCCAGCCGCCCGTTGCTTCTGCATATCAAAAGTGCAAGCAGGACACGCTTCCTGCGAAAGGCTCGTGCATGCATCCTGTCGTCCCTTCTTTTTTTTCTGTCGGCTGTGGGTTGTGCGTCGACGATCACAACTGGCCGGGCAGTTGCAGGTGCACAGGCCGATCGCCAGCTGCAGGTGGCAAGAGTGCGCTGCAGCTTCTGCCCAACGTGCGCTACAGGTGTAGAGGCCCCCTAAACCCGGGTTTATAGGTTGTGTGTTTTGCTAGCACTTTCGCCCTTCGGGGCAATTTGGTCAATGTAAGCTCAACCTCCCGGTTCCGTGGCCGAGTGGTATGGATGTGATGCTAACAAAACAAACAGTTGAAACGATACAGAGAAGATTAGCATGGCCCCTGCACTAAGGATGACACGCTACTCAAAGAGACGCTACCAATTTTTTTAGATTTTTTCCTCATGCTAACAGGCATCTTTTTATCGCGTGCAATGCCCGTCAAGGTGCCCAAAATGATAAATTTGGGGCCGGAATCTGGGGCCATATCGTGGGCCTAGGCCGGGAGGTGGAGGGTTCGAATCATGCTCGTGACAACCTTTTTTGGCGGTTTTTCTTGAAGTGTAAATCACCCATAAGGTCAACGATCAAAAGTACGAAGCAGATAAACACCGTTGCGAATGAAAGGTCTCTCTATACGCATCTCTGATCTTCAAAGGTCTGGTCTTGCTGGTGCCAGATTTTCCTGTGTACCTTGAAAACGAGAATTCTATAGCGTAAACACGCGATCTTTAGCGCCTTGCTACAACCGACGAGCCGTCGCTAACCTCAAGTAGGTAAAGCTTGGAAGCGTCTTTGACTCACCATCAGAGAACGCAATCAGCATGACACTGAGCTGAACTGAAGAATCTCTTTTTGATACAATGATAAAGCCGGTATCGGTGGAGACAGACTCATTTGCAAGTCTCGACATCCCAAACTTCACCATGACCTGTCGTTAAAAATGGATCATTGACAGTACTCGCGATGGCCGCGCAAAATGATACTCAAAGCTCACTACGATTTGGATACTCTCGCCCTCCCTTGTGCCAGATGGAACAGGAATCACAGGTTACAGTTGCACTGACTGACCGTACACATCCTGAGCACATACACATCTCTAGCAATATCAATGTGAATGTTATCATACGATATATTGTTCTTATGTAGACATTCGAGAACTATATGCAGGAACCAAATTCCGATCACAGATAACCACCCTCCCAATGCTCTCTACCGTCCTGTTACCCGGCCCATAACCTTGCAATGCAAAAAAAGAGAAAAGAAAGAGAACAATCAACGACTATAATACAATATTACAATACAACTCGCGCGGGTCGAAAAGGTCAACCTGCAACCAGATCAGCAGCATCAACCACTTCACGCCTCAGGGGCGGCCTGAGCCTCGCCACCCTCAGCTTCTTCGGCCGGCGGCTGCTCCTGCGGCTTCGCGTAGACATTCAATCCACTCTTGTCCTCCTTGATTTCCACCACCGCATTATCACCAGTCTTGATCTGTCCACGAATGATCTTATCCGCAAGCCCATTGCCAATCTCGGTGGTGATAAGGCGGTTAAGCGGACGAGCACCAAACTTGGGATCGTAACCCCTCTCGGCCAGCCACTGGCGGACCTCGTCGGGGACCGTGAGCGTGATGCGGCGATCGTTGAGCCGCTCCTGGAGCTCCCTCAAACGAATATCGACAATGTCTCTGAGCGCCTCCAGGGCGAGACGCTTGAAGACGATGAAGGAATCGATGCGGTTGAGGAACTCGGGGGGGTACTGCGATGCGACGACGTCCATGACGGCCTTCTTGACATCCGGGTGGATGTCGCCGTCTTCCGTCTCCTTGTATGGGACCAGTGGGTTGGCGTCGACGAGGATGTCGGCGCCGAGGTTGGAGGTGAGCACAATGATGGTGTTCTTGAAGTCAACCTTGTGGCCCTGGGCGTCGGTCAGGTAGCCCTCGTCGAGTACCTGGAGGAGGAGAGCGGAGATGTCCCGGTGCGCCTTCTCGAACTCATCGAAGAGGAGGACGGCGTACGGCTTGCGGCGCACGGCCTCCGTCAGTTGGCCGGCGTCTTCGTAGCCTACGTAGCCAGAGGGAGCGCCAATCAGGCGGGAGATGGTGTGCTTTTCTTGGAACTCGCTCATGTCGAAGCGGACCACGGCGGACTCGGTCGAAAAGAGGAAGCCGGCGAGCTTCTTGCACAGCTCGGTCTTGCCGACACCGAGTGGGGCCGAGGAAGAAGAAAGAATGCCAGTGGACGGTTCTCGCCGCTCAGTCCGGCTCTTTGCATTCTCACTGCGTCGGCGACCGCCTTCAGAGCCTCGTCTTGGCCGCGAACAGATTCGCGGAGGATGTCCTCCATGTGGATCAGTCTCTCCATGTGGCCGCTGGACAACTTGGAGATCGGAATGCCGGTAATTCGGGAAACGACGTTGGCGATGTCGTCAGCTGTGACGGAATCGTGGATGAGGGTGTTGTCGCCGGTAGGTCTTTCGCCATCCTTGGGCAACTGCTTTTCCAGGTTTGGAATCACGCCAAACCTCAACTCCGAAGCCCTGCCGAAGTTGCCGGTTCTCTGAGCTTGCTCCAACTCGATGCGGGCTCTGTCGAGCTCTGCCTGTGTTTGCTTGATCTTGTCGATTTCGCTCTTCTCCTTCTCCCACTTCTCGGTCAGCACGGAGACTTCGTCTTGGAACTTCTTTAGGTCAGCCTCGAGCTTTTCGCGACGCTCAACGCTGGCAACATCCTTCTCCTTTCGTAAACTTTCCAGCTCGATCTGAATGGTCATGATCTTCTGGTCCAATCGTTGGATGTCATCGGGTTTGCTTTCTTGCTGTAGACGAAGCGAACTGGCGGCTTCGTCCATCAAGTCGATGGCCTTATCGGGAAGGAAGCGGTCGGTGATGTAACGGTTGGAGTAAGCCGCGGCCGCGACCAGGGCCCCGTCGGTGATACGGACACCATGGTGAACTTCATATTTCTCCTTGATACCGCGCAGGATGCTGATTGTATCCTCCACTGTCGGCTCGTTGACGAGGATAGGTTGGAAACGGCGAGCGAGGGCAACATCTTTCTCGATCTGACGATATTCGTTCAAGGTGGTGGCACCGCAGCACTGAAGCTCACCTCTGGAGAGAGCTGGCTTCAGGAGGTTCGATGCATCGATAGAGCCTTCGGCCTTTCCGAGGCCTAGGAGAGTATGGAGCTCATCGATGAAGAGAATGACCTCTCCGTTGGCTTGTTGCACCTCGGTAAGGACCTTCTTTAGCCGCTCCTCAAAATCACCCCTGAACTTGGCGCCTGCAATGAGAGATCCAAGATCGAGACTGATGACCCTCTTATTCTTGATGCTTTCTGGCACCGCGCCCTTCACAATCTCCAGCGCAAGACCCTCCAGAATGGCAGTCTTTCCCCCCCC